CTTTCCGGTTGGCGGCCGGTCCATTTCACCTCGGCCACCCATCCCTCCCTCTCTCCACCCAGCCAGTCCTTGCTGAATGTAGAGATGATCCTGTTCATGTCCCCCCAGGTATACATCAGGTCGAGCTTATCTTTAGCTGTCTTCCATTGGGCCGCTATCTCGTGTTGGACCAATGTTCGGATTTGTTCCATGGCCTCGCCGTCTTCCACCCTCGCCCCCTCTATCTCAAGACAACGTCTTATCCACCATATAGTCCACAGGACACTCCGTCTGCCTAGGCTGAACATGTTTTCCTCAAACGTCTTCCCCCGGATTGGAGGGTAATACCCCAAGAGTAGGGCCCTCCAGTCCCATGGCCAGACTGCACCAGGAACTATGTGACGCCAGATCCTGTCCCAACTTCTCCATAATAGCACTGATGCGGGACATTGGAGGAATATATGTTCGATGGTCTCAGCCCTCCTCCTCCCAGGGTAGCTCAGGAGACATTTATGGCACCATGGTAGTGCCTTCCCCTGTTGTTCCAGGCGGGTATGATCTATCAGCCAATCATTGGTTGGTAGACACCTGTGCTCTATTTGCCACTGGAGGGCAGAGATTTTGGCGGGTCTTTTGCTGTAGTGTGCAAACCACCGGATGGGTTTCAGTAGTCTGCGGTCTATATTTAGGTGGCGATACCATCTGTCTTCTACACGGTCACGTAATCTACATTTGGGTCTGAGCATTCGATAAGCAGATTTAGATTTTAAGTTGAGTATTGTCAGTGCTTTTGCCTCTCCCTTCCTAGTTGGAATATTCAGGGTCCATTGCCACTCACCAGGGTCCAGGGGGAGGTCCTCGATTGGAGCCATTGGGCCATACGCCCTCTGGTGACCTCCCTCATCAATGACCCTGATGCGATAAACATCCCTTTGCTCCTTCCATATGAAGGGTTGATGGTTACAACACAGTATGTCATCCTTTAGAATGGAGAAGACTTCAACTAGCCCATGCGTCTGGTCCGCGAGGTGCACGTGCCCCACCTCCCGCTCGTGGTCAGGCAACCCTACCAGTCATCTTCCTTTGCGCAGGGGCCTTTTCTAAGAGTGGCGTACCAGTGGAGGGGGAAGCTGTCAATCAGCTCAGTGAGTGCCCTTTCGGTGAGGTGACAATATCGTAGTGTTGTTCGTAACCTCTCCGCGCTCTTCCAATTCCTTGCCTCTGTGTCCCAGAGGTCCCCAACCCTTCGTACACCGTGTTTCACCCAACCCTTCCATGGTGAATCCGACGCGCAGCGCACACACCCTTCGGAATCCGGTATTAGGCGGTTGCCGAATAGGGGCTGCCTGGATATTTCTTCCCACCTCTCTGGAACAGGCCGGTTGGGGGGGGGGGAGCCTCCTCCATGTATGTATGAGACGCACCTAGTATCTGTCGGTAGGGTCCCCGTTTCTGTACTTCCTGGGTAACCTCCAATACCTGTCTTCCAGCCATACGCGGGGATCAACTTCAGGTGGAGATTCTGGGGCGAGGCCAGAGATTTGTGCCAGGGCAAGGGGGACCCATGGGGAGGACGGTGAAAAAATGATAAGCCGAAGCCAGCGAATCGAGAGAGCCTGGAATTGTGTGGCCGGGTCCACGATTCCTAATCCGCCTTTGTTCTTGGGTTGGATCACCGAGTCCCACGCAACGCGGCTTATGGCGTGGGTGATGTTACCATCGTCTCTCCACAGGAAGGCCACCAACTGCTGTTTCAGTACTTTGAGCCCCCCGTTACTCATAGGCCATAGGATGGACTTATACCAGAGTGTGGCCAGGATCACATTATGAATGACAAGTGTCCACCCAAAGATGGATGTGCGTTTATTGTTCCATTTTCCCAATCTAACTTGTGCTGGTCCGGTCAGCCACTCGTCGTTCGATGCTGGCTTTCCTCTAGCAGTGATCAATGTCCCCAGAATTCTCAGGGGGTCGTCAGGGGGGGAACCATGTGATTTTCGGGTTTTCTGGAGGTCTGCCCCCCTGGTGATGCATCCACCATCCCGTAGTCTTTTGTCCCCAATTTACAGTCATATCCGACAAGCGACATAATTTGTTCATGAGGTGCTGGATTTCTTCCATGTTGGCCTCAGTTGCCTCAACCATTATGGTAAGGTCGTCAGCAAACAGGGAGCAAATAGGTATTGCCTCTTCCGGGATATTCGATATCTTAATATGTGTGAGGTATTTGTTCTGTCGCGGGTTGGCTGACAGTGCTTCCATAATTACCAAGAAGAGATAGGGGGCAATGGGGTCCCCATATCTCACTGACCGTTGGAGCTCAAATGAAGGCGCCACTGACCCATTGATCTGGACACAGGTTGTAGCATTATTATGGAGGATCTTAACCCAGCGCCGGAAGATGGGTCCGAAGTTCATTTTTTCCAAACACATGTCTAGAAATTCCCAGTCCACGTGGTCATAGGCTTTTTCAAAATTTATAAAAAGAATGGCCGCGTTTGCCTGTTTTCGGCGCGCCAATCGGACCACGTCGTTAACCAACAGGATGTTTTCTTGAATGTTCCTGCCGGACATGAACCCCGTTTGGGCTGGGTGAATGACCTCCTCCAATACTATCGCCATGGGATTGGCCAATGGTTTGGAAAGCATTTTATATACCACGGTGAGTAGCATAATAGGTCTGTAGTTTCTAATGTTCATTTTATCGCCTTTTTTGTATAGGAGAGATAACACTCCTCTCCCTACAGTATCCCGCATTTCCCTGGCCTCCCGTACCTTTTGGTAATATTCCCACAGGTCGGTACTGAGATCCGTCCACATGGTTTTCCAAAATTCTTTGGGGAAACCGTCAATGCGAGGGGTATTTTCTTCCTTCATTTGGAGAAGTGTTGTCCATATTTCTTCTTTTGTTAGCTCTATCTCCGGTTTGTCTCGCTGTTGAGAAGAGATATGTCGATCCATTGGGAGTAGGAAGTCCTGCATTTCCCGAAACCATTCTTCCCCATACAGGGATAGGACTTGGGAGGTATATAGCTATTTGTAGAACTTCCTGGTGATTAGTGTGCAGTGAGTCGTGTCAGTGGCAATGATGTTGCTGTCGTCTGGGTAAAAAAAAACCTCGATGACCGTCAGTCGTGCTTGTGCGGTGACCATGGAGAAAAAACGAGTGTCCATGGAGGCCTCGTGGGTGAGTTTAGCCATCTTCCCTCTGATTATGATTCCTTGCCATCTATGCAGAGCATATTGTAGGAGTCGGTCCTTAGTATTTTGGATAGAGTTTATGAGATGCTGTGATTCCTGTGCGGAGGTAAGGTGTTGTCACTCTTCCTGCTTCTCCAGGACTATTAGTTCATTGTGTGTGGTCGCTGCTTTAACTTTGGAGAATTCCTTACATTTTCTGGCCAGAAACACAAGGCCGTTGTTGAACCATGCGAGGTAGGAATCGAAAAGGTGTTTTTGCTGGCGCCAGAATTATCATTTGTGTCGTATCATTTGTGAGAATGATAAGTCTTTAAGCAGGGAGGTGATTAATTTGTAAAAGCCTGGCCCTTGGTCTGACCTTTTTCTCATTGTTAGTCTTATTCCACAAGTTTTGTGGTCAAGACCCGGGTGCGGGCTGCGTGGGAGGATCATTGACCATCACAGGGCTCCCTCCCGGTCATTGGACAGCAGGATGAGATCAATTCGAGATTTGGATAGGCGGGACGGATTTCTGTTCCGAATGCACGTGAATGCCCGTGCTTGGGGGTGCAGGCGTCGGAATGTATCGAAGACTGAGAGAGTCTCACAGAGGTCAGCTAACATTTGCTCGTCCTCTAGTGCCGCAAAGGAGGGCGATTCCTAGGGGTTCCATCTGTCCAGGCCCTTATCCGGGGCCGCATTGAAGTCCCCTACTATGATTAGAGGGATACCTTTCGGGACTTGTGTTCCAATTTTCCCCAAGAACTCCTTCCTTTCCCTCACTGAGTTTCATTTCTCCGAGTTCCGTTATAAAATATAAGGAGAAAAGCTGTTTCTAGCGGATTTTTTCAGTTTTCTAATTTCTTGTTTCGAATTTATTAATGTCGAAATGGTGTCACACCGTTAAGTTTTCTAAACTAAACAACGGTAGGCGGGACCAGACCCCAAGGGGAAGTACAGTACAGAAACAGCCCCACTCAGGAGTCTCAAGGTTTTTTCCCCCTCTTTTCTTGAAGCTGACTCAGGTTTGGAAATGCAAGAACTACTAGTCTTCCCCCGAATACAACGCACGGTCATTATAGCTGATTTTTTTTATTTCTTTTTTTAATTTGGACCATTTCTCGATTTATGCGTGTCATCCTTGCGCAGGGGCCATGCTAATCTTCTCTGTATCGTTCCAATTTTAAGGGATGTCCCGAAAATTTGGCATATCTTTCGGTCTAAATTCAGCTATAGTGACCGTACGTTGTATTCGGGAAAGACTGTAGCCGGATTCGGATGCACCTGGGCGCAAAAGTGTGCAAGTGCATGATCTGCACGTAGACATGTGAAAGCCCAGGTGCATTCTGACTGTCCAATTCTGTCCTTGAAACATACAGGGCCTATCTCTGTCCCCCAACTTACATCTTCCCCCAAACTATCAGTTTATCTGGTCCAATTTCATGTCCAAGGCAAACAGCTATCATGCCCCCCACACCCTTTTTTGTTTTTCTTTTCTATATATCTGCCACTGGTGGAAAAAGAAAGGTAATTAAAAAAATAAAAATAATAAATAAATAAATAAATAAATAAAATAAAATAACATAACAAAGGTTGACAAAAAAAAAAAAAAAAAAAAAAAAAAAAAAAAAAA